TTTGATTGTTATAACACATTTCAAGATCTTTAACTTCACTTGGTTTTCCAATATTTGTTGTTCCATTGTATAATCAAAAACTAGCGGACGCTTTTTTTTCGGGAAAATATATACTTTTTAATATTAAAAAATAACTTATTAGACTTACGATATTGTTCATATCTTTCTGAAACGCCACACAATCTCTGACTGTTTTCACTCGTCTAAAAAGCTTAAAATAATCGTAAAAAGTAAACATTCAGAGATTCTAACACAGGATGCTAATTCATTTATAGAATGTGTAAACAATAGAGGACCCATGTTTGGACCTTGTAGCACACCAGAATTTGCATGATACTTTCCTGATGTATTTCCACTGAATATTACAATTTAAATCCGATTTTCTAGTTTTTAACAATAAAACAAAACCCACATAGAGCCCCGTGTTTAAAAGTTTTTGTAATGTAATGTGTCATAATGCATTTAATCAAACGCTTTATTAAAATCAGTATATACATCGTCTAATTGTAATTTTTTCTCTATATCGGTATTATTAAAAAGAATAACCTTACCTACCTAACTGTCGCTTTCAAAGTGAATTAGTAGATGAATTGGATAACTCTTATATATAAATCCGTTATTTTCCTTATTTCATTTATCTAATTGCGAATTAATAATTTCTTTATCTATTCTAGTTGTATTTATTTAGCACATCGCGGTCTTTTGTAGGTACATTCATTCGTAGAGCGTTCATGCGGAAACAAAACAAATTGCCTGTAGCTAATCTATATTTGATTTTGATTAGTTCCTGTGGGAGTACATGTTAACATGGTTTTGGTGGGTGCGTATTTATATGATGGGTGATTTTTTGATAATTGCCTGCTCTTTTCTGATTTTTTTGTTTCCCCTTTGAAGACACACTAGTATGTTGACTATTTTTTTAAACTGACTTTAAAAAAGGAGGAGGTTCTCAATTAGTTGGAATGCAAATCAGAAATTATTTCATGTCAACACTGAAATGTGTCCAATGTCCAATAGTCCCCATTTGAACATTTTTTAATAGAGAAATTCAAGGTTTTGTTAAAATATCTCAGCAACTGTTTGAGCTAAAAGTCTCAAATGTCTGACTAATTTCTTACTTATTATATTAGCAGTAGTTTCCTAGCTTTGATAAATTAAATTCCGCACTGAATCAAGTTGCCTTTGGAAAAATGTATACGCGAAGAGTAGGTCATAATAGTCAAAACGTCAAAATTTTCTTTAGTATTAATTACTTGAAACATGTGATTTAATTTTTGGTGAATTAATAGTTGCGATTAATAAAAATTAAGAAGTATTCGAGAGAAGAGAGAATAAATATGATTTTAATATTTGGGAAATGTTTGGAAAACTACTTATTGCGATCTAGAGTTTATGCAGCACGATTCCCTTGCAAGATCATCCCAGGAAATAAGTTTTTAAAAGACTTTTAAGAAGTTTTCGTGCAACTGGTAGTGTTGCTTATGAAAAGGATACCATAAATAAGCCCACAACAGATGACTAACTAATCAACAATATTTATTATACCCGTCATCGAATATCCTAACACAAGCACAAAAATTGTAGTAAAACTGTTTCATATAGAAAAATTCTTAAAGATCATTTTTATAGTCCATTTAAATTTTAAAATCGCAACAAAATTTGTATGAAACAGATTTTGAACTAGGGTTAGAATTCTGTTCATTGTTTTTGGAAAAAACAGGAGAACAATTTTTCGGTCAAATACTATTTACTGATGGATCTACCACAAGAATAAATAATAACCAGAAGGATATCTCTCATTTAATTCCTTTGTAGTTGATGCCCGACGAGATATGACCTCGTCTTTTAGATATTACATGTATTCCATAGGCGCACCGAAAAAAGGTAAGGAAAATAAAAAAATATTGGGTAGCTATTGATTTATTTTTAAGTTCATACATTACAAATACAGGTAATTAAAAGATTTATATATTATAAAAAAATATTTACGTATCTTTCCAAATGACAACCTTTTTGTCTTTTATAAGTTTTAAAATTTCGGTTAATACATTTAAGAGTATAAAATAATCTTAATCTACCGAATAATTTTATTAAATAATTATGTGAAAATTTTTCACATGGATGTGAAAACTTGCATTTCTACAAGTACTTTAAAACGTATCTATTACATTTTTGTGTATAATAATAGTTTCAAAATTTATTTCAAATATTACCTCTAAAAAGGAGATAAATTTTACAAAATCATTGTGTGGCATGTTAAAGTTACCAAATAAATTTAAATTGGAGCTGTTATAAGCTTTATAGTAACAAAATAAAGATGTATCATCGAAATTTTGATAGGTTTTTTGAATATTCCTCGCAAAATTGTACAAGAATTTATAGATAGGCATTTTTTCAATAGGTAACCCCGCAAAATACCTTTCGAAATTCGTTTCTAACGTAAACTCTTTTTGATAAATGCTATCAATTTCTGGAAAATTTGATGTATGGGGATGTGTGTATGATACTCGCAGAAGCATATTATCCATGTCATTTTCGCAGTTTTGAGTTCCTGAATTGAGTAGCTTTACACAGAACAACTTTCTAAAGGTTCTTTGAAATTGAATGGCTGTTGGATTAGCACAATTACTATTTTGCTGTCTTTTTTTAGTTACATCCTCGCCTAGGTTATTAAAACTTTTAAGTTGTCCAACAGCAATAACATCTCATTTAAAAATGTAAGTTGAAAGTCGAGACCCTTAAATACCAAATTATATTTCTTCCCGTCTGATGTTTTTGATGAGTTTAAAATATCAAATAATTTGTCGATTTTATTAATAAAATCAGCAGTTGCCTGGGCTTCATTAGACAAGTTACCTAATTCGACGTACACATTTAAAGCCGCTGAAACTGTAAGACTAAATCTGCATATTTTACCTTAATTTTTCAAAATTACTAGGAAATATATGCGAATCAGTTAGTTTAGGAGCTGATTTAGTAACTAACGACTTATCAATATTATAAAATTGCGTAGTATATGATGTAAGGGGTTTTCTCGCCACAGAGAAAACGGTTCCTTGCGAATGGCGCTGGTTACGGACGGTTCTCGAGCGCCAGATTTTTGGTGATGGTTTACTCCACAAACTCTCGAAACGGCGTCGAAAGTACTCGGGCAGCACAGATGCAGATGAAAAATTCCAGGGGTCAAAGGTCACTTAGACACAGGTAATAGTAGGCCACAAGTAACGGGCTTTAATCGTTGTTTTAAGGTGAAGGGGAGAAAAAGTCCTTTATATCGCACAAGGAAAGTCAATGTTTAATTATTTAACAAAACATTGAGTGCGACCGGTTTCGAAGTGTCATCACTTCATCTTCAGGCTCGCCTAGTGAAAGGAGAATATGTGGTGTAAGGTGTGTTAACACTTAGAGCAAACGATATATAAAATAGTAAAAAAGAGAAAAACTCACCATACTCTCCATCCACTAGGGAATACTACAAAACAAGTTTCATCAAATGTTGGGTGAAATAAATTGTAAAATGAACAAAGTTTACAAGTAATAAAAAGTTAAAAATATTTGAAAAACAAATATTAGTCATTGAAATAGTAAAATTTAAAATATTCAAGACTATACAAAACAAATCACATACATTAAACAGATTAAAAGATAAGGCTTATTTTAAACA